AAAATGAAACGGCGAAATCAAAGTTCCTTGCTCAACAAGACTTACAAAACACAATATAACGCTAAAAATATTCACGCCAAACATCATCTAAAAAAAAAAATTAATTAGAAATTATTTGTCAAAGTATTTATGAACAACTAGAGGTGGGTGGATTTTTTTTGATGAAATATGACAAAGTCGTGTTAAAAAGCAATCAGACGAATTACTATGGAAATCCGTAAGTGTAGCCCGGTGTGATGATATAAAGAATAAGTAAGGTGGAATTAGCCAAAGTCAGTTCAAAACCCGATTTTCTTTCACAGGTGAAGGCAGATGGGAATTAGCGCGAGGGTAGCAACTACCGGTACTAAGCACCAACACTAGTAAGGCTGTCGACAGCCTGCTCATTCGAGAGTTGCTTCTAAACAAGCTGATGAAGAGTTTAATTCCCTGGCATACGCCAACACGAATTTATCATCGAAATGAATGAACGAATCGTAGAGAGACTGACTGTCCTATCGGCGGGATAGAACCCTCGACCTTTTGAATGACAGTCAAGTTTTTCAATAACCCTAGAAAGACAATTTCAGCACAATCTGGCTTTATTATTAAGTTCGCAATGACTCCCATACTTTGCTACTTTCTTATTGCTACCTTACTTTACTTGACTTATTATCACTTATTCATATTGAAATTACGCACGAAAAATCATGATTTGCCTCCTGCAACTTTACAAGGCAAAAACACTCTCTAACTTGTGATGAAATGTCAAATTTGCAAAAAAAAAAAAAAGGTATAACCAATCTAAGCTGATTTTATGCACAAAAAAGCGTATAACCTGGTATTTTGAAATTCTTGGCTTGCAGTCAAACAATGTCTTTTGCCAATTTAACGTGAAAGCATCGAATAACAGATAGCCAGACATTAAGCAAATTCCCGACAGTGTTGTCACACGATCTGAATATGTGCGAGGCTTATAAAAATAAACTCTACAATTCGCATACAACCTCATCCTCTCCTCAGATGCAATGCAGATTCAAGAGAAAAACGTTTGCATTAAATTTCTTATAATTCAAAATAGCTTAAATTGTAAAACTCATTAATCTCCAAAACACGGTCAGCATTTCAACTTTTGTATCCGTTAAAACTAACTGACCTAAGGGTTTTGTGGATTTTATATTTTAAAAGCTGACCAAAGCAAATCTAATGTATTTTTTGAGTATTTTGCGTATTATTACTGATCATTTTGTACTGCTTACAGTGTGTCTTTCTCGAAATAATATCCTGTAAAAAAGCTTTACCATCAACTGCAAATCCTTTTGTGTTATTCGAAAGAAGGAACAGAGATGCTCCAAGTGCAAGTACAACAGCGCATGCGCATTCATCACGTCCGTAACGCTCACCTCTGACAATGAAACCCAT